TTTAAAGACACAATTTTCCATTCTTATTCTGCTGAATGTTCTTTGCGGTTTTCCGTAGCTGCCTCGTCCACAGGTTTTTTTTAATTTTTGGCTTATTTCATGTATATATCAGTTTTACATTATTTAAGCGACTAGGGACGAGGCAGTTTCTGTAGTGTAGCGGTTATCACGTGCGCCTAAGGCGCGCAAGGTCCGCAGGTCAATCCTGGGCGGAAACATTTCGCTTTCTTTCACTCTATGAAACACTAAATTTGCTACTTTTGTTCTTTTGAATGCTTTTTGCAGGATAATCGTTTGTGGAACACAAGTTGCCGCATATGCAGCAGATTTCAGATTTGAAGATATATAGCTAATGAAATTACTTCCTGAAAAATAAACCGATAATAAATATACTGGATTCCAGCAATGGTTTGGTTTAAACACTTTTAAGGTGCGATACGATTTCTCTAGTGTAGCGGTTATCAAGTGCTCTTTAGAGGCGCAAGGTAAACAGTTTGACCATGTACAGCAACAACTATTTGCGCTGTGTTTCTTTCGATGTATTCTATTTAAACCTGTAACCATTTTGACTTGTATAAATTTCTGAAACATAAACAATTTTAAAGTTGTCTTACTAAAATTTCCAGCATTCGATATCTTGCCAATTCATAATAAGAGGGCCCGGAAATATTCTTTTCCAACCGTGGGAAAGTTTTCGTAGTGTAGTGGTTATTACATGCGCTTCACACGTGCAAGGTCCCCAGTTCAATCCTGGGCGAAAACAATTCGCTTTCTTTCCCTGTTTTAAAGACACAATTTTGCCATTTTTGTTCTGCTGAATTTTCTTTGCGTGTTTCCGTAGTGTAGCGGTTATCACGTGCGCCTAACGTTCGCAACGTCCCCAGTTTAATCCTGGGCGAAACATTTCGCTTTGTTTCCCCCCCTTTTAAAGACTCAATTTTGCCATTCTTGTTCTGCTGAATGTTCTTTGCGGTTTTCCGTAAATGCCTTGTCCTCAGGCTTTTTTTAATTTTTGGCTTATTTCATGTATATATCTGTTTTACATCATTGAAGCGATGGGAGACGAGGCAGTTTCCGTAGTGTAGCGGCTATGACGTGCGCCTAAAGGCCGATCTACACGATGCGATTAGTCGCATACGATTCGTATGGTGGCGTATGTATTCGAATAAATGCGTGTAAAGGTTTCCCATTTTAAATTTCGTTATAAACTGATGAACAGACAGAGTGACGTTACCAATCTTTTTCATACGTCAGGATAAGAATCGTATACGACTAATCGCATCGTGCAGATCGGCCTTAACACGCGCAAAGTCCCCAGTTCAATCCTGGGCGGAAACATTTTGCTTTCTTTCACTCTATTAAACACTAAATTTGCTAATTTTGTTCTTTTAAATGCTTTTTGCACGATAATCGTTTGTGGAACACAAGTTGCCGCATATATGCAGAATTTTTCAGACTTGAAGATATCTAATGAAATTACTTCCTGAAAAATAAACCGATAACAAATATACCGGATTCCAGCATTGCTTTGGTTTAAACACTTTTAAGGTGCGATACGATTTCTCTACTGTAGCGGTTATCAAGTGCTCTTTCGAGGCGCAAGGTAAACAGTTTGACAATGTACAGAAACAACTATTTGCGCTGTGTTTCTTTCGATATATTTTATTTAAACCTGTAACCGTTATGACTCACAGAAATATCTGAAACATAAATAATTTTAAAGTTATCTTACTAAAATTTCCAGCATTCGATATTTTGATAATTCAAATTAAGAGCGCCCGGAAATATTCTTTTTCCAACCGCGGGAAAGTTTTCGTAGTGTAGTGGTTATCACGTGCGCTTTACACGCGCAAGGTCCCCAGTTCAATCCTGGGCGAAAACAATTCGCTTTGTTTCCCGCTTTTAAAGACACAATTTGCCATTCTTGTTTTGCTGAATGTTCTTTGCGGTTTTCCGTAGCTGCCTCGTCCACAGGCTTTTTTTAATTTTTGGCTTATTTCATGTATATATCAGTTTTACATCATTGAAGCGATTAGGGACGAGGCAGATTCTTTAGTGTAGCGGTTATCACGTGCGCCTAACACGCGCAAAGTCCCCAGTTCAATCCTGGGCGGAAATATTTCGCTTTTTTTCACTCTATCAAACACTAAATTTTCTACTTTTGTTTTTTTCAATGCTTTTTGCACTATAATCGTTTGTGGAACACAAGTTGCCGCATATGCATCAGATTTCAGACTTTAAGATAGTTAATGAAATTACTTCCTGAAAAATAAACCGATAACAAATATACCGGATTCCAGCAATGTTTTGGTTTAAACACTTTTAAGGTTCGATACGATTTCTCTAGTGTAGCGGTTATCAAGTGCTCTTTAGAGGCGCAAGGTAAACAGTTTGACCATTTACAGAAACAACTATTTGCGCTGTGTTTCTTTCGATATATTTTACTTAAACCTGTAACCGTTATGACTCATAGAAATTTCTGAAACATAAAGAATTTTAAAGTTGTCTTACTAAAATTTCCAGCATTCGATATCTTTTCAATTCAAATTAAGAGGGCCCGGAAATATTCTTTTCCAACCGCGGGAAAGTTTTCGTAGTGGAGTGGTTATCACTTGCGCTTCACACGTGCAAGGTCTCCAGTTCAATCCTGGGCGGAAACATTTCGCTTTCTTTCACTCTATTAAACACTAAATTTGCTACTTTTGTTCTTTTGAATGCTTTTTGCACGATAATCGTTTGTGGAACACAATTTGCCGCATATGCAGCAGATTTCAGACTTGAAGATATCTAATGAAATTACTTTCTGAAGGATAAACTGATAACAAATATACCGGATTCCAGCAATGCTTTTGTTTAATTTAACACTTTTAAGGTGCGATACGATTTCTCTAGTGTAGCGGTTATCAAGTGCTCTTTGGAGGCGCAAGGTAAACAGTTTGACCATTTACAGAAACTACTATTTGCGCTGTGTTTCTTTCGATATATTTTACTTAAACCTGTAACCGTTATGACTCATAGAAATTTCTGAAAGACAAAGAATTTTAAAGTTATCTCACTAAAATTTCCAGCATTCGATATTTTGATAACTGAAATTAAGAGCGCCGGGAAATATTCTTTTCCAGGCACGAGAAAGTTTTCGTAGAGTATGGGTTATCACGTGGGCTTTACACGCACAAGGTCCCCAGTCCAATCCTGGGCGAAAACAATTCGCTTTGTTTCCCGCTTTTAAAGACACAATTTTCCATTCTTGTTCTGCTGAATGTTCTTTGCGGTTTTCCGTAGCTGCCTCGTCCACAGGTTTTTTTTAATTTTTGGCTTATTTCATGTATATATCAGTTTTACATTATTTAAGCGACTAGGGACGAGGCAGTTTCTGTAGTGTAGCGGTTATCACGTGCGCCTAAGGCGCGCAAGGTCCGCAGGTCAATCCTGGGCGGAAACATTTCGCTTTCTTTCACTCTATGAAACACTAAATTTGCTACTTTTGTTCTTTTGAATGCTTTTTGCAGGATAATCGTTTGTGGAACACAAGTTGCCGCATATGCAGCAGATTTCAGATTTGAAGATATATAGCTAATGAAATTACTTCCTGAAAAATAAACCGATAACAAATATACCGGATTCCAGCATTGCTTTGGTTTAAACACTTTTAAGGTGCGATACGATTTCTCTAGTGTAGCGGTTATCAAGTGCTCTTTAGAGGCGCAAGGTAAAGAGTTTGACCATGTACAGAAACAACTATTTGCGCTGTGTTTCTTTCGATATATTTTATTTAAACCTGTAACCGTTATGACTCGTAGAAATTTCTGAAACATAAAGAATTTTAAAGTTATCTCACTAAAATTTCCAGCATTCGATATCTTGCCAATTCAAATTAAGAGGGCCGGGAAATATTCTTTTCTAACCGCGGGAAAGTTTTCGTAGTGTAGTTGTTATCACATGCGATTCACACGTGCAAGGTCCCTGTTTTAAAGACACAATTTTGCTTTTCTTGTTATGCTGACTGTTCTTTGCGTGTTTCTGTAGCTGCCTCGTCCACAGGCTCGTCTTAATGTTTGACTTATTTAACGTATATATCACTTTTACATCATTGAAGCGACTGGAGACCAGGCAGTTTCCGTTGTGTAAAAGTTATCTCGTGTGTTGAACACGCGCAATGTCCCTAGTTCAATCCTGGGCGGGAACACGTTGCTTCTACTTTTCCTATTTTGAACACTGGATAATCGTTTATGGTCAATTGTTATCGCACAGCAGATTTCAAACTTGAAGATTGGTTGTGAGAATAATTTTCTTTAAGTAGACAATTTATAAATATACCGGATTACACCAGCTCCTTCCTTTGAACACTTCAAAGATGCCACGCAATTCATGTAGTGAAGCGGTAATCACGTGCACCTTACACGCCAGAGAACCCAATTCAGAACTTAGCGGAAACAAACCACATGTGCGCTGTGTTTCTGTTTTCCTGCCATATAAATAAGATAAATTAGAATGCGAAAATTGGCGAAACACCGGGTTTCCAATAACATAAACAAATTTGTTTGCTTGGAAGTGCGAAAATTTTTAATTAGACCTTGGAATGCGATGGCCTTTAGAGAAATGTTTTTTATTTCTTTGAACAGGTTGAGTTCTTTGAACATGCAGGTAGGTGGAATGTTTTGTGAACATCCTCTCTGTGTATACATATGACTTTTTTTTTTAATTTTTTACAACTTTATTGGATAACAATACCCAAGCGGCAAGAGTGCGAACGGGACCTTTAGACTCATGCGAGGCAACTCTCCCGTATTTAACATGCAGCTACAGTATTACACAAAACACACACATCTAGACACATAAGCACGTTGCAATTGTTAAATTACGTAACAGACAAGTCCTGGTGACAGAAACAACTACGATGTAATGACCAAGTGCAAGTCGTGTCAATCGGTTGAAATAGGAGGACTTGAAGGTGTTGGTTCTGCATGACGGAACTTTTAGTAGAAGCAAAGGGTTATTACAGTTACGAGTTCTACTATGACCAACGAAAGACACATAACTTGAGACATCCAAATCATAAAATCCATACAACGCCTTGTAGAAGAAAATCAAGTCTTTTATTTCTCTATCGTACGCCAAGGGTATAAGGTGAAGGGAGAGCATCCGTTCTTTGTAGGGGATATCACCTATCTTCGTTCCCAGGATCCATCTTGTAGCTCTCCTCTGAACTCTCTCAAGTTTCTCCAGATTTGATTTACTTGTGTGGAGGGTTGGTGCCCAGACTTGCGTAGCATATGATAGTTGGGATTTGACAAGAGATAGGTATAGGGCACGTCGAATATCATGATTGGTTAGCAAAGGATATGTTCTTCTTAGTAGTCCAAGCATTTTGTTTGCCTTGTTAACAAGATTATTGACGTGAGTATTCCACAAAAGGTTACTGGTTACAGTGATTCCCAGATCAAGTTCACTGTCCACGTGTTTTAGTTCAGGTCCAAGATGGTAATTTATTTGACACGGGGTTTTGCGGCGGGATATCGTTAAAACTTTACATTTGGATGTGTTAAATTTCATGTTACAATCTTTACTCCAATCCTCAGCACGCGACAAGGCATGTTGCAACTGCACGCCGTCCTCGCAAGTTCTAATTGCTTGGTATAACTTCGTATCATCAGCATACAATCCTGTTGATGTAGCTTTAGGTATAACATCAGGAAAGTCATTTATGAATAGCAAGAAAAGCATAGGACCTAAGATGACAACAGCATTTAAGATGGAAAACTGCTTAAATTTTATTGCTACCATGCCTTAAGTCACAAGGTCTAGTGAATGAATGTCACCAAGAGATCCAGTTAATAGCAACTTCGGGGATGTGCTTTTTTTGACAATAGTCGAAATTTTAACACCAATGTAATCCTAAGATAAAATTTAAGAATTATAAAACTTTATATTTCTAAGCTTGGAAATAAAATATTTACACCCGGGAAAAATCCTGGGACACTAAAGAGCAAGACCTTACACTTGACAAGCAGCAACATATGCAATTCTAATTAGATTTCGGGTATCTATCTATATATCTATCTGCGGCCAACGTTTTTGCAAACGGGTATATATATATATATATATATATATATATATATATATTATAATATATAATATATATATATATATAATATATATATATATATATATATATATATATATATATATATATATTTACATATATATATATATATATATATATATATATATTTACATATATATATATATACATATATATATATATATATATATATATATATATATATATATATATATATATATATATATATATATCAATATATATATATATATATATATATATACCTTTTTCTTGTTCGGGTGACAACTTCGAACAGGACATCTTTGTTCTTGTTCTTTTCCAGAGCAGCCAGCATTGATGGCTTCTTTGAATCAATGTTTCGGTATCTTAACCATGTGCATCGAAATGATGCTCTACACACAGAAAAAGTAAAACTCAACAATAGCTAAACCAAGATATGTATATAAGATACATTAACTTCCACACATAGTTACTAACAATTACTACTTACCACATATACTCTTAACCTTCTCTGGGACAAGTTTGGGTTTTTGCATCCTTTTCTTTAAAAGCATTTGAAGCTTTTCCTGGGATGGAATGAGAGCAAAGTTGTTCTTGCATCGTCGACATGCCCATAATTGCATAAACTAAATCTTTCACATTTAATTTTGCTTTTATAGCTCTATTTTGACCTTTGGTTAATATGATGTTTGGATATAAGAAAATCTGTAATCTTCAACAGTAAATGTGAAAATTAAACATTTCACACCTTATTCACTCTTAGCATGATGCCATGATATAGCTACAGAATTTACTAGAAATACATGCATGCAGCAACCCTTCGCTATTTCAAACCAAGTACACAATTTCCTGAGTTAACTTGACCTAAATTTATATTATGAAATGACACAAAACTCAAATCAGTCTTATTATATTTTACCGAGTATATTATAGCTAATGTTTCCATCATTCAATACAAAAATAATCATAAAGCTAGTGTAAACATTGCCCGTTCAATTTGGCTGCATTATTATACCATGCCAGCAATTAAGTAACGGTTTAAAATCGAAGTTTGAAACGATTAAAACAGAACAAAATCTTCACAGACAAAGAAAAAACTTCAAATGTTATTTTATTCTGTAATTGCATTCGACGCCGGCGGCTAAAAGTTTTATACTTTATAAACAGTGTGTATTTTTTATACCAAAATTCAAATTACACTTTCATAAACACTTTTTGAAGTTAAAGCAAAGGTGTAATAGCCTTTCACAGGTTTATGCGTTCGCATAAAAAGCTGAAAATTTAACAAATTAACGGCTTACAAAGCTGAAAAGTATACAAATACGGCTCATTCTTATCGCGAAACAAATACGAAATACATAAAGTAAACACGTACCCTTTGTCTTTTAAAACATTTATAAGTTTGTAGATTATGAATTATTCCTCTTACACGCGGCTTTGTCTTGACCATATCCACGTTCATCTTTGCTAACTGTCGTGGTTCATATATCTTGTTTCTTCTCGTTTTACTTGCTTTGCACAAAGTTTATGAAACGCTTTTACAAAAATTTTTACGAAATGACAGTTAATATAAATTGCTGCCGTTCGCATTGAAATACAAATTTTCTGTCTAAGCCAATCCGAACGTTCGTTGATTACCAGACGTTACTCGTGCATGCGCATAACTTACAAAACCACCCAACGTCGACCGTCCATGACAAAGAATTTGGACAAGTTTGGATTCGCCTATGCCCTACCGGGTTCCGGGTGTAATTCCTAATCTCCGAGCGGAATTAGTACCCTCGCAGGCGCTCAGCGCTCGCTCGGGGATAAATGTACTGCAAAGGCATTGACAGAAATAATTTTTAGTTGTAATGGCCCTAACAAGGGGGAATTTCGTCCTCAACCAATCAGCATATTTGTTTACATTTTCAGTAAGCCAATCAGAATACACAAATCTTGACTACTTACTTCCGGTATTAAAATTTAGGAATTCTGATTGGCTCTGCCTGACAAATGTAAACAAACATGCAGATTTGTTCAAAACGAAATTCCTCCTTGTTAATGGCCCTATTTATAACGATATAAATAAAAGGTATATTATGTTATCTATATGATTCACCAGAAGTATGATTTGCAGCTGTTGAGTTTTGACAGCATGAATACAATAATACCTGCCATTTCTGATCAGTAGCGTAGCCAGCCTGTCGATTTGTCCCGCTATGCTAATATTTTGGTGTTCGCTGACTCTGAAAACAATAGGTTTCTAAAGGCACGAATAATTATAATGACTCGAAATTTACATAGCGGGACAAAATCGTCAGGCTGGCTACGCCACTGTTTCTGATTCAGCATCACTCATAAGAATCTTACACGTAAAGTTGATCTTGAAGCCAGGGTGCAATCGGTGTATATCACACGCCGAAGATACGCAAAAGCAATCTTAACATTACGCCAATTTCCCACCGTTGGCCATATACTTACGACAATTACCCACTCCAGGACGTTACGTCGGTCGCACACTCGCAAGGACATTCGACTCATGAGTCAAAAAATGCTACACGTTTAGAGGACCATTTTTAAGAATTTAATGCCTTTGTTGTAGTTAAAATACTTAAATGCATGCAGTTGAAGTCGGTGTGTGTGTGGACCTTCGAATTACAAAGTTTGGTGTCTTTATTCGGTATTTATGCGTTTTTGAAAAAAGTTTTGAAAAAGTGTCCAGCAGCCATACAAAGTCTAATCTGAAAAAATAGTCAATGTGCAAGGGTACTAATCCCGCCCGGAGATTAGGAATTACACCCGGGTATTCTGACAGAACATTGGCGAATCCAAAGTTGCCCAAATTCAATGGTCTTTTACTGAAGATCGCTTGGAAGGTGGTCGGTCGTAGAATGCACCAGTAACGGCTACAACTGAGAACGAGTAACGAGAACATTGACTTAAACAAACAAATTGAGTTCATAAAGCCATTTGCTTTACACGCTCCTGCAGGAGAATAGGACTTGGAATATCGCTTCGCTTAATGAGATAACTTTGCTTATCGCTTCGGTTATCGCTTCGCTTAAGGAGATCCTCGTTGCTCACGACCTCGTGCGGATGTGTATTTTATAGCTCCGTTCCGATTGATTTAAATTGACTTTAAATATGGATAAAGTGTTAGCGATTCCTACGAATCAGTTCGTCTTTTTGAAAGACAAACTATCCTGGACAGGGAATCTGGACGAATTAAAAACATTCGTTAGCACAGTTGCTGATAAGGAGGCTTTAGAACAAGCCTTTTGGAAATCGCCCGGTGGTGGTACTTGGAAGTTTACGAGCGAGCAGCTTCTCGTCACTTGGTATTCTAAAACTAAGTCAATTTATTTCAAAGGTTCGAGAGCAAGTGAACTATTATCGTTGATTCAGGATCAACTATGTCCCTCTAGTGCTAATATTTCCTCTCATGATGGCGATAACACAGCTTGTAACGGCATTAACTGTTCAGATTGTAAAGCAACTATAGAGTCGAGATGGCTGAAGCAAAGCTTGAAATTGCTATGCTTTGGGCAGTGGTGCATAAACTCGAAGACATTGTTAAGGCCAACCTGCCTTGTTCTGATATTGAACACTTGAAAGCTGAAATTAATCTGTTAAAGAATCAAAATGAAAGCATTAAAGAACTCCTAGAATATAGTCAAACTTCATGGGACCAGCCTCGTCAAACAGATTGCAGAATGCGTATTCAGAAGAAAAATTGAACTTTTTTAAGATATTCAAAAGGTTTCTCTTTGATAGGGCGATACAGAAATGCACAATTGTGAACCAGCGATTAGATTTTCGGGTTGAAACGTCTTAAACACCAATTTCTGCGGTGTCCGTCAAACATGTCCAAGGGAAACCGCAAACGAATCAAGTAATACGCCTATTTTACAATTATTTTGAGCCCCTCGCTAATGAGCCGAGTGAATATCAATCCGAAGTAAATCCTAGCGATCAAAGCAGTGTCACTGTCCCGGCTTCCTTCGATGATCAGATAGAAGAGTACCGCAACAATCAGAGACTAAAATGCATTGCATCTGGGACCTTCAATGCCCGTGAGAGGCCTGCTCTTGAGGAAGACAATTCTGTTGTCGAAGTTTCGCCAGATAAGTCCGACGCTCGCGGCTCTATTCTAAATCGATCGACTCAACGATTCGAAAGCATAAACGGCATAGGATCAAATCAGGAAAGAACCGATCGCATGGCCAGGCCACCGGTAAATCAGCTAATGTTGGGGAGACTAGTTTGGAAATGGCCACGTAAACAGACACAGACCCAGGGACAAGTATGACTAACACGAAGAAAGAAATTTATATCATCGGCGACTCCATTATCAAGAATATAGACGGACACCGACTATCAAGTAAGGCAAAGGTTCAGGTACGTTCTTTTCCAGGCTGTACTACATTAGACATGAAAGATCATGCCAAGCCGATACTGAGAAAAAATCCAGCAGAGATAATTATCCATGTTGGGACCAATAATCTATGCGAAAATAAGTCAGCTAGGAAATGTGCCGATGAAATAATTGAATTAGCCTCAACAATTAGTCGTCATTCTGCTTCTAAAATCGCTATATCTGGTATAGTTGACAGGTCTGACGACTTGAAATCTGCTAGTAAAATTAGAGACGTTAATAAATATTTGGATCAAATGAGCAAACAAAACAAATGGGGATTTATGAATAATAGTAATATATTAGCCAGTGAGCATCTGAATCGTAGTCGTCTCCATTTGAATAAACGTGGAACAGCTCTTTTAGCTCTTAATTTTGTAAATTATATTAGAAAAGATGAGGATATTGCCGCGGGGAAATCAGATACATTTGTGCGCGGTGGAACAACTCCTGACCTATGTCTCAAGCTTCGAATTTGAATTTTAACATAACAAATCGGGGCTTAGTTATGGCATCATTAAACATTAATAGCTTGTTACTGCATATTGATGAGCTCAAATTATTTTTGAGTACTTCTAAAATCGACATTTTAGCAATCAATGAAACCAAATTAGACTCTCATATTGAGAATAGGGAAATTCAACTACCGGGTTTTGAACTCGTGAGAAGGGATCGTGACCTGAACGGTAGGCATGGAGGTGGAATTTGCCTCTATGTACGATCCAACATTAATTACTTCATCCAACACGACTTAGAAGCTCCGACCCTTGAATATCTATGTATTGAAATTACTAAGCCAAGATCGAAGGCGTTTTTGGTCAGCACATGGTATAGGCCTCCGAACTCCCCAAGTGAAGCGTTCCATGCTTTTGAGAAAATTATAGGCAGAATAGATAGCGAGGATAAAGAGCATTATTTGCTCGGAGATATTAATTGTGATATGTTATCTCCTGAGGCGCATAATACTTCAACCTTGATTGATTTATTCAATATATATGGATTAAGTCAGTTGATTGATGAACCAACAAGAGGTTCCCCCAGTTCGCGAACATTAATTGACCTATGTGTCACTAATTGTCCTCAAAAAATAGTCAATGCAGGTGTCTTGCATCTTGGAATTAGTGATCACTCTTTGGTTTATTTTATTCGAAAAACACATTATCAGCAAACAACCGCACGTATCATCCAATCGCGGGTGTTTAAAAACTTTAAT